TGGACCAAGAAGAAAGACAAGATAGTTGAAAGAGGGAGATGGTGTCTAACTATGGCTAAATTTCTTCTTTCAAGAAGCTGACCAAGTTCTGGCCAAAGGACAAGTTATACGTCCAGGCATGGGGCATGGTCCAGTCAAAGTTCCATCAAAGCCTGGCTCCTGCCCCAGGATTCAGATGCAGTGCACCATGATGAATCCCCCTAATGCCTGTATGAGGGACTCTCAATGCTCCGGGAACAAGAAGTGCTGTATGGGCTCTTGTGGAAGAGTCTGTATGAGGCCCCAGAACTGAATGGAGAAAGAGGTAACTCCCGGGGGCACAGAGAAAGCTGAGTGGTGGGAAATGATCCTTGGTTCTTGAGAGGGAGGATACTGGAAGGTGATGGGGAAACTGAGGGGTGTCAGAGGCTGTAACTGGGCTTCTTAGAGGAGTGACATGTGGACTTGACCTTATCTCTCACTGCCTCTGAGTGCTTTGACCTGCTGACTCATAGCTCTGGTTCTCCTCTCTCCTGCCAGGTGGAGCCTGCTCTTGCTGCACCGGTGAAGACCCAGGACTGCAGTCCTTGGTCCTTACAGCATTTGAATGCCTTTCTCACATGGCTCATTCTTCCTCTCACCGAGGTTGCCTAAACCTGGGCTGCTTCTCTCAGTGATTTCCTAATAAAAGACTGCTTTCTACTCCATTTGTTTGGCTCCTATGACTTCTATGCTCCTGGAAGCTCCTGGAGGTGGGTGTGGAGTTGGGATTCCCTCTCCCCAGTGAGGGTGGGGGCTAGAGGGCTCTGTGGGAGCTGTTCCTGGTGTGAAGGAGCGCAGGGGCAGGAGCAAGAGGCCCCACTCCTAGGGATTAATATTAGAAATCCAATAAACAAACCAAGAACTATATTCTCCATATCACCACAAAATGGAAATCTGGAAATTTCACTTGTTCATGCCCAAGATGCCTCCATTAACACATAATCCCTTTGGATTAAGCAATATCCTCTCCCAACTTTAGATTTGAGGATGTGAATGAGGAGACAAGACACTCCAAGTCCTTAATCCTTTAGTAGGAATGTGGAATAGTGTTCTCTGGAGATACAAAGTTGGGGGCAGAGCAGATCCAAGTAGTGACGAGAATGGGGAGTATTTGATGGGCAAACTTGAATGACCTCGTGGCTCTGTTGTTGGCCCCACTGCCCTTGGACAAGGAAGCTCTCTGGAGGCCAAAGCCACAGCAGGAGGAGGAGCATTTTGGGTGGAGTGGGGAAAGCACAGGCTTGGGAGTCAGTGACCTGAGTTCTAGCCCAGCTTTGCCACCTCTGAAAGACTCCCCAGTCACCATGGAATTGTCCCTGGGAAAGTGCTTTCTCATAACAAGCTAGACACCAAGCTTACCTTCTGCCAGTTACTCCATCAGCAATAATTTATTTCACAAGGTCACTTTTGATGAACCTGAATTATCTTTCTGCCTCTATTTCAATCACAGCCCACATTCTCAGCCTTTTCACACTAGATGGTACTATGCCTTCCCTTTCTGCAGCTTGGTATTTTTATGGAGACACAAATTCATCCACAATACCTGTGCTCCTGGAAGCTCCCATAATCTTCTACTCTTGAGTCACAGTAGAGCATAGCATTGCTGCTTCTGGGCACTTCAATTGATGTCGCATCCTGTCCAGCCAGCATTGCCAAAGCCTTGGACATCACTTCCATGCCTCTTCCTGGAAGTGAGCTGCTGCAGCCACTGGATGCTGGATTAAAGCCCATCCTTCCTCTGTGTCTGCTTTTTACCATCACTAGTCCTCACATCTGTGACGGAGCCTATGCATGTGTTGTCTGAACCAGTACCTGTGCACATGGGGTGGCTGCAGAGGAGGCAGGGAGAGCAGGCACCTGGACCTTCCAGCTCCCATGGGGGACATGGGCTCAGCTTCCCACTCCTGAGACCTACCTGGTGAATATGCTCTAATTGTAGGAACAGTGTTTATATACATAGCAGTCAAGAAATGAAGGTTGGCCCTGGCCGGTGTGGCTCAGTTGGTTGGATGTTGTCCCATGCGCTGAAAGGTCCTGGTTTGATTCCCAGTCAGGGCACATACCAACATACCAGGTTGTGGGTTTGATACCCAATCAGAGTGCATATGGGAAACAACAACCAAACAATGTCTCTCTCTCTCTCTCTCTCTCTCTCTTCCTCTCTCAAAATCAATTTTTAAAAATATATTTTAAAAAAATGAAATCAAAGTTGTCTAAACCAATCTCATGCCAACTGTGAGCACTGGGGCAGCTGCTCTGACCTTCCCTCCATTTCGTCTTCTCACCCCAGCTTCTGGCTCAAGTTTAACCGAAGATAAAAAGGAAGGAAATTGGAGCTAGTAAGGCTTCCAAGGCCTCATGGCTGATATTCACTAACTCCCCTAATGCCTCATAAAAGGCTTTTTCAACTCTGCATGAATGATGGGGAAGTTAAGCTCTGAGCTGCATGATATTAGTGAAAGGACCGCAGCTGCTAGCTGAAGTGCCCAGGATGAGCACCACAGCCTTAAAGTCCCTGGCTATTTGGGAGCAGCTCAACAGCTACCAAGCTCCTCCCAGAGACACTGCGTCCTCCAGCAGAGGAGTTTCTGCTGAACTGTAACCCTGATGTTACACCTGCAGACTCTGTTCTGTGTGCACCCGAGGGGTGAGCAGCCAGGGTCACTGATAATGACTGGACATCCTTTGGCCACTTCTGAGGCTCTCCTTGTCCAGAACCTCCTCAGATGAGGAGACTCTGTTCTAGCCAGCCATGTGTGTCTGCCCCCAGGACTCCAGCCTGACAAGGGTCATGCTCAGACCACTTGTTTCTCAGGTTGTCCCAGGGGCCTGAGCCACAATCTTCCACTGAATGTGGAATTGAAAGTACCCGCTGACATAATCCAGATCTTCATCTTGCAGATGGGGAAACCCATTTCTAAGGGTGTCATCAAAGTTCACATTAGGCGTCAAGGGCAGAGCTGAGTCCGGGAACTGCCTGTCCTAATATGCTTGTTCTCTTTCTATAGGATGTTCACTAAGTCAGGAGGACTAGTAGCCTTTGAAAAAAAAAAAAAAAGGCTTGTTGATCTATTCATTTTACCTGAACCAGAAATCAAGTTCATAGCAAGAATTCCAGGAAAATAGAATGATTCGAACCAAAGTGGAGAATCAAAGATAATGTAATTTGGGGAGAAGATAAGAACAATTAAACTGTAAATGGACACTCCATAAAAGGCCAAGTGTCCTGCATCATTTTGGTGTCCTGTCAATAATCTTTCTGCTCCTCTAAATCCTGGCAGCATTTCCCTTCTGGGGGAAGATCTGAAATATGACCAGAGTTGTGCTTTCGATGGCTTGTAATTTGGAAACTGTGTTTAACAAGTTGTTTCCTGTTCATTCTTCTACGAGAGTGATGGAAGAGAAGTGTCCAAAGGAGATCTGAGAACTTCAAACAAACAAAACAAAAATCTTGGTGTGTGTATTGGATGAAGTCCACAAATTGACGAATATGCATTAGCAGATGGAACGTCAGTAGGTAACAACAGGATGATTTTTTTTAACTAATGGCTTCAGTCTTTTAGTACACTGAGCACTTGCCACTGGTATTCACTGATCCAGGCAAAGTAATTAATCATGCTTGGCTTTTTTTTTTTCGTTTACAACATTAACAATACATGTTTTTAAATGTCTTTTCCATAAAGTAAATGGCCTTAATGCGGATAGCAGTTAGCAGTTAACCTGAGCTCCTACGTTGAGAGGGGGGGTGTCAGTCCAGATCCAGAGAACTTGATTTTGCTGATGACTGTTAGCCAGTTTACATACCGGATGTTTGTATAGTGAATATTTCAGACTGTGCCTATAAAAATTTTATTGATGTTCACAGGCATTCTAGCCATCAGAGCTGGTGCAGGAGTGGTAGCTGCCACGTTTTAACCACTGTTTCTCCCCTTCATGACATGAAGATTCATTTTCATTGTTTGAACTAGGATCTTCATGTGGCTGAGGTTTAAGGACAGAAAGCGATCACTCTAGACCAGTGATGGCGAACCTGTGACACACATGTCAGAGGTGACACGCAAACTCATTATTTTGGTTGATTTTTCTTTGTTAAATGGCATTTAATTATATAAAATAAATATCAAAAATATAAGTCTTTGTTTTACTATGGTTGCAAATATCAAAAATTTCTATATGTGACATGGCTCCAGAGTTAAGTTAGGGTTTTTCAAAATGCTGACATGCCAAGCTCAAAAGGTTCGCCATCACTGCTCCAGACTGAGTGAGCTCTTAACCCCCAAACCTCTCATGCTGTCTGTTTCCAAAATGGATTCAATAAACATCATTTTGTACACATGTAACCTACTGGATTCCCATGGATAAGAAAGACTCCTAGATATCTCATTGCCCCCTTTTTCCTTTTATGTTTTTTTTTAATTTAAATCTTTATTGTTCAGATTATTACATTTGTTCCTCTTTTTTCCCCCATAACTCCCCTCCTCCCAGTTCCCGCCCCCCCCCCGCCCTCACTCCCCACCCCCCGT